ATTTTAACTCTGTTATAATTCATAATTTTATCTAATAAAGAACTAGAGGAAAGACCTCCCTTGATAATAAAAAAAAAAAGTTTGCATATAGCAACAGGTTTTATTATAAACAAAGTTTTTTGTAAACTTCTAATAAATAGTTAGAGTATTTGTCTTGAAAATACCTTTATAAAACTATATAAATTTTATAAATATTTTTAGTAGGGTTCTATTGTTTGATCTGAGTTTGATTTAAGTTTGATTAAACCCAAATTAAACCAAACTCAAACTATAAATTTTATAAAGTTTGAATTCAAACCAAATTTAAATAAAAAATAATCAAATTATAACTAGTTTGATTTGAGTTTGATTTGAAGTTTGCAAACATGTTTGGACTTGAATAGAATTTTGTTTAAATATAAACTCTTGAATTAATATTCAGATAAATATTTTTATTAATATTCATTAAATATTTGAATACTTCTAGTAATTTGCTATATTATAATTTATATGTTGATTTTATTCTTTTTTTTAAATCAAAGACTAAATTGTAGAAAAGTATTTAACAGATATGCTTTGAAATGCACTATCATAAAACTTTTGTTTAGATAAGATAAAATTTATAATTAATATTTTGTATATAAATTTTCAGAAAATCAAGTATAAGAATTATAAATTAGTATAAATAAGAAATTAATACAGATGATCCTCGTTAATATCAACCTGTTTGAGCCTATTCTAAATTATGTTGATAGTGATATTAACAAGAGTTTATATTAAAGTTGATATATAAGAGGAAATTTTGATATATAAAAATTCTTAAAAATTTAGATTTTGGCTTAGGTTAATATTAACAAAGTTGATATTAATGGAGGTCACGTGTAATAAATTATTTCAAATATTTTAATTAATAAATAATAATAACTAAATTAAATTTAATAAAAGATTGTTTATTAACCAAATAAGTATGGACAATAAGCTAATAAAACTAATAAGAAGTGCAAATATTGCTTTTAAATACTTTGATTAACAAATTATTTTAACTTTCTGGTTAAATTAATCTAATAATAAATGACAAGTAATTTATAATCTTACTGATGTTATATTTTAAACTATACTTATGAACTAATTTAATATAAATATAAAAAATAACATGTTTTAAATACATTTGCTATTATAATCATTGCCACTAATTCAATGAAATAAGAAATCAAATTAAAAGTATATAAGTACTATTTATTTTTTGCAATGGCAAATAAACAACTTCTTGAATTGCAAGTATAATGCAGGCTAGCTATTAGTATAAATATGTGATATTGATATCTGCAATTATATATAATATAGTAGTTGAGTTTGTGCAGCTTAGTGCTAATCTAATCTGCTTATATAATGCAGGCTAATTATACTTGCTTTATATAGCTAGTTTGTGTAGTATAGGAAGCTGGCTATCAGTATAAGCATATTATTAATATTATAAGAATAGCCAAATTATTTTGGAAAGGAGAGTTGGGTTATAAATTGTTGTCTGTTACAGTTAAGTTAGCAATTGTTTGCATAAGATTTGATTGTATTTTTCTTGAATTTATCTTTATTCTCATTGCTATCTTTATCAAGTTAGTAATTACTGTTTATGAAAAGCTATTCAAATTATTCTTACCTTTAAACCAGGTTTGTTCTGATTGATAGTTCTATAATATATATTATCATGCTTAACTTCTTTTCAATTTGCTAATTTTATGTCAACTCTAATAAAAATCTTAGTTGAGAAAAAAGCTTAGACCAGTCAACTGAGCTAACCTTTTACTAGTATATTTTTTAATTAAAATTAGCTATTATATCTATATCAAAACATGTAATATGTATATACCGTATAGCCGTGAAATAACGCACCCCTGCGCATTAATTTATTCACCTGCGCGTTATTTCGGCATATAGCCGCAAAATAACGCACCCCTGCGCGTTAATTTATTCACCTGCGCGTTATTTCGGGACGCCCATGCACGTTATTTTAAAACAAAGAGTCAAAATTTTGAGCTTATATACATATATCAAATCCGTTAACACATTCTATGCAAAGTGTGCGTTATTTCGGGACATGCATGGGCGTTATTTTGAATCAAAATATGATGTTTTTAAGAGGTGCAATTTCCGAATTAACGTTTATGTGCGTTATTTCGCGGCTATATGGTATATATTTGGTAGTTCCATGAACCTAGTCATTGTACTAAAGCTAGCTTGTATTACTAGTTGTCAGTATGCTGTTTATTATGTAATTTCTTTTTATTAAAAGCCCAAACCCCTCCTCAGGTAATAAATCAGCAGCCAATCATAATATTTATATTAAATATATTGACGTGATAAATTGCTAACTCTTTTCCTCCCCTAAAAAATTATATAATAAACAGCACTCCCTTACATAATAGCTGAAATAAAATTATATTAATGAAACCAAAATAATTGCTAGTTAAAAAATCAAATTTTACTATAAAGAGGCTAAAATTTTTTTCAAAAAAAAAAATTGAAAAAGTTAATTTTTAGAAAATTAAAGATTTGAAGACTATTAGGACAACTATCTAAATATGTTACAGCACTTTTGGAGCCTAGATGATTTCTATACATATTTTATTATCTAGAATATAACAAATTGATTTTAATAATTATAATTTTTTTATAAAAATTTTGCCCATTACTCAGCTTAATTTATAGCTGTTTTTATAAATTTTAAAAAAGCTAAAAATTTCTTAAGTACTAAGTGCTCTGAATTTATAAAAATAGCATAAATTTAAATTATAGCAAAATTGCTATTGACTAAGGACTAGAGCTTTTTAACTTGAGATATTTAACCAGATTTGAAATCAATTATAAATCAAAATTATATTATTACCAGAATAATTCAATCTATATAATAAAATTGAACAAATTTAACATTTCTATGCTAAACTGTATAGAAATTGTTCAATTGCTTTTGACTTAATTATGTTAGTCAAAATTATATTAGTACTAACTGAATTAAATAGTTAGCATAGATAAATAGTCAAATAGTTGGAAGATTTTAGGTAGTTCAATCTCTACTATTATAATTAGTAATTATACCTAGTTAATATTTAATTGTCAGAAGAACACTACATAGTACACCTGATGTCTGTGTGTTAACAAATTCTGGAACCTGATTGGCTAGATCAGGTATAACGTAAAAGATTTAAAAAAAACAACTGAAACTAACGTTTATTGGCTAGATCAGACGTAATATAAAAAACAAACTATTATTGTAGTCGATGCTTATTGGTTAGATCAAGTTTAAATTTGAAATTTAGAAATTGGTTTTATTGCGATTTTAAATTCTGTATAAATTTATATATAATATAGTATAAATTAAATTTAAAATTTATATTTGGCCCTTCGGACTTTGAATAGTTTCCATTTACCCAGTTTAAAAGATTAAAACTTTTAATAAAATCTAATAACTGGTTTTATACTCTATTATAGAGGGTAATAGTTATATCTATTTTTTAAATTATAAAGATTTGGTATAAAACTTTACAAAAGTATTTGCATTATTTTATATAATTAAATTATAAATAACAATTATATATTTAGATAATTTTTTATACAATAGAATCTAATTCAGGTATTTACTTAGGTCCTATAGCCATACCTGAGTTATATTCTTATTGGATTATATCTCTATTTTTTCACAAAATAAATTTCTTTTTTTTAGATAGTTTATATATTGAATTATATTTCTACCTTAGTTATATCACCAAAAATACTTTGAAAAAAAGGGTGCTATAAATCAGGTATGACTATATAAAGAAATTTTAATCGCACAGTAATTAGCGGTATTTAAAAAGGTTAATTTTAATTTATTGTAACTAAATTTAAAATAATATGATGAATACAATCTAGTAAGACATAAAATAATAAAATATAATCATTAAGACAGAGCAAATGCTTATTAAAAAACAATAAACAATCAATTACTACAATTTATATTAAACAGAATCTAGCTAGCCACTTAAACATCTTGAAAAGGTTGAACAAACAATTCAATACTTTCATTAACCATTGCAGCTTCATTAATTAAACGTTGCCTTAACATAGACAATAAGTTTTTGCCGTCTTTGGCAAATTGCCTAATTCCTTCAGCAAGCTTTTCAGTAGCCATTGCATCTTCATTCAGTTTCCATTTGAAAGCTTTCTCATCATAAGTAGTTTTTGATTCCAAACAATGACAGGCTAATCCACAATAAATAAATAAATAAATAACATTTCCAAAACTTATAGATTTCAGCATATATATACATACCAGTATCAGGACTTAATTTTCTTTCAATCTTTTTATAAGAGTTTTGCAGCTGATTTAATAGTTTAGG